AAACTCACAGACACTAACCCCGTTCACGGCTTTCTTCTTCAGGCGGACCCCACTCGCTGCCGGACGTGACTCGCCGTCGGACGTGGCTCGCCGCCGGAGTTGACCCTCCCTCTTGTCACTCACACAGGGACGAAATTAAAAAAAAATATATATTTGTATGGGATTCTTGGACATTGTGTTAGTTTAATTAATTGTCATTTATACATTATGTAATTAGGTTTTCTTAATCTTAAGATTTAATGAAATTTATTGGAATCTTGTTGTGTGAAATTTCTGGAATTTGGTGTTTGTTGGTTGAAATAATGTTATTATAATATGTAATTGCTTAAAACATAATAATGTAGACAATGTGTTCGATGAAATACCAAAGAGAATAACTTAGTAGAAATTTGACAATTTAAAAAAATTGTATAAATTTATGTTCATTGCGTTCTTGGCTTCTTGTTTTGAGATTGTAATTAGTACAATATTACTAACTTGTTGTCATGTGGTTGCTAATGTGGATTGCTAATTGCTATCATGTTTTTAATTTACATTGAATATCAATATTAATATTGTTTGGACATTTATTATAAATTGAAGTAGTTTCATTTTTTAGGTAGTGAAAATAAATTAAAAAATAAAATATTTAATATTAATTTTTAGGCCCCGCCTAGGCCCCGCCTAGGCGCTCTAGGCGCTAGGCGTTGGTCGAGCGCCTAGCGACTTCTAGAACACTGGGTTCTATGCTACCTTTCGATAGTTCTTCCTACTATATTCAGGGAAATAACTGCTTCTTTCGGCCGTGTGGTTAATGTAGTTGCTGTATGGCTGTACTCTAGTTTGTATGTCTGTGTTTTTTTTTTTTTTATAAATTATATCGTTTAAAAAAAATACTTTAAATATGGAATGTCCATCAAATATCCAGATTAATTTGCTCAAATTTGTTTGATCGCTAAATAAAAGTTTTGCCCAATAAAATCATTAATTGCTATCACAATGTTTTCGTACCACGTATTCTTCCGTAAGCTTGAACAAACCTTTCAAGGTAGGGAATTAATAAAGTTGAATAATGTTGAAGATAAATAGATAATATATCTTTCCAATCAAATCAGATCCCCAAAAAAGGTAACATTCAATTACGGTGGCTATTTAGATCATCAATCAAGCCCCACCCACCCACACATACATAATCACCATTATTACATCAAATTTACTTGTCTCCTCTAACCTATGCATCCTAATCCTTGTTTTCTCCCGCTACTTTTTTTAGTTCGTTTTCTTTCTTCCCAATTAGTTTGGTTAGAACTAACTACTCGAGAGGCAAACAAGTCAAGCTCGAACGCATTTGATATTTGTTTAGTTAATGAGTCAAACGAGCTGTTAAGGATAAAAAAAAATGGAAATTTTTATGTAATTTTTTGAATCATTATCTTAACTCATTAATTTTGACAAAAAAGTTGAACTCAAACTTGTTTATTGACTCGGTTAGTTAACAAGTTGAGTTCAAGTCGGCTCGATGAAGCCTCGAGCCTTATTAGCTGCTAGAGCTTGAATCGACTTAGCTGTAAATTAATCTCGATATGTATGATTTACTACTCAGACTCATGTCTAACATGTGTGGGATTTACATCAAGAGTCCCAAAATTGATATTAATTCATTAAAGTAGATCACACATGTGATCATAAATAATTAAAGTTAAGCAAGGTTGATCAAATGTGATAACAAATAATTAAAGTTGGCAAGAGAATCTAGGACTGTTTCAATATGAGTTATTGGATTTTTTTTTTTTTATTTTTTTTTTTATTTTTTTTTTGCAATATTATCGAAATAATTTTAAATAAGACTTAATCATTACTATATCCCCTTAATTAATAATGTACAATGCTCCAATCCTACATGTCTTTGTAATCACATGTGCCAGATTTTGATGCTTCCCCTTTATATATTAATACATAATGTCTCGATATGATAAGTCGACTTCTGCTGCTTCATAATCTTATGTGACTAGGTGGTAAATTAAAGAAAAAAAGTGAAAAGTATCATTTAAATACTGTAATATAAGAGGACAAATCGTACAAGTGGAAAATTTCATTTAAAATATAAATTATAATGTAAAAAAAAATAAAAAAAAAAAGAAAACATAAAATTTAAATGAGAAGAAACTTCACTCTCAGCATATTTTTTTATTAGTATATAATGAGCGTTGTACTAGTAATTTACTTAAATCCTTTTTCTATACCCAGGTTCTATGCTTACGTCTGTCAGTCTTCGACTTTTGTAGTTGGCCTATCGCTATTTTGGGAGGTCAATCGCGAGATGTGCCTTGTTGCCAGCCGTACCACTCTCTTTTATACCTTAGCGCCCCAGAAGGTCTAACGGTACATAGGTGATTACCAGTCTGTCCTATTTTCTCCAAAAGAGGAAAAAACTGACGAGTATTCCCTACCTCAGGGATTCGATTTTCATATACATAGCATTCTGGCCCACATGGGGCGGTCGTGCTACCAACAGACTATGCCTTGAGGGGCTAAAACTTTGGTGGTAAACTTTTTATACTAACTAGCCTCACCGCACTGCGGCCCCATCCTCAAGAAACCTCAACTCCGGCCTGACCCTACGAATTAGTATACACCACTTGGCCCTACACGTATGAAGGGATTTTTGAGAGGCATAGTTCTAGTGGTATCATTTGGAGAGATTCAAACCCAAGACCTCAAGGTGCCATATCCTTTGACCAACTGAGCTTGCTCCAGTTGATTAAAATTTTGGAAGGTAAACTTTATATACTGGCTAGCCCCATCGCACGGCCCCATCGCTAACAAACCTCAACTCTGGCCTGATCCTACGGATGAGTATACTCCGCTTGGCCGTACACATAAAAACACGAATTTTTTGAGGGACATAGTTATAGTGGTATCATATTTGAACCAGGTCCTCAAGGTGTCA